TTTTAAGAAATTTATTTCTACGTTTGTTTTTTTCATCGTGAATTTGATTTGATGTTGTAAATAGAACGAATGTAAACTAAAACTTTCACTTTTATAAATTATTTTAAATTAAAAAATTTTAAATTAATTTACATCGAAACTTGCAAACATTTATCGATTGTATAATAATTTAACCAAAGAAATATAATCACTATTTGATTCTAACGTTTTGCTAAAAAAATTTTTTTTAAATATCTGCTATCGATGATTTTATCTTATGGACGACCGTTATACCATATGTATCTATACAGGTCCGTACCGTATATTTGTCCTATCTTCATAAATGCTTACTTAGTAATTATACAACTTGTTGCAAACAAAATGACAGTGATACATCGAGTATTAAAGTGAAAAAATGCGCAGACCAAATGGAACTGAGTGCTGTCCAATTGGCACTGGAGGCTAGCTTATATAGACAAAATATGTTGAGAATGGTAAGAAATATTTTGAAACTGGTAGAAGAAATATATCGATAAGTTTTACATAATGCTTTATCACCAATGCTAATATCCATCTATTCTTGTAGATTGCAGATGTAAAATCACATACAATTCAAAAGAAAGCGTATAAAAAATTAGTAATATATTTAGAAACACTCAAAGATAAAATTGACATTGCTATACAAACAGATGATACTTGGATGAATTTGGAAGGAGTAACTACACAAAACGTGTCTATTATATCCAATTGTGACAAAACGTCGCAAATAGCATTATCCACTGTGAATTCTAACAATATTTGTAAAGGTAAAAGTATTAAAGAGGATCTTGATAATGAAACAGATATGCGAATATCACAAATCAGTACTGTAACGGCAGAATTTAACAACGCTAGTCAAAGGTTTAAGGATCAGATCGATTTCAATACAACGGATGATGCACTTATGAGAAATGAAGATGATAATTCACAAGATTCCTTGTTACAGCATATGCAAGATATGTTTTGCGAAAGTGACGATAGCAGCGATCTTACAAGATTAATTGAAAAACATTCTGGTATTACTAAAGCAAATATCGATAAAGAAATTAACAAGATATGTTTGGAAGCCGACATTGTCGCGGATTCAAATATTTTCGGTATTCCACTAAATAATATACTCGAATCTAATGTAACGAATCTAAGTACGAGTGAAGGAAGAATTAGTTTTAGTCGTTACAAGGAAATGCAAAGTAGAAAAGTCATTACATCAAGAGGAACTAACGCAAATGAAACTATTGAAAATAAGCAAAAACAAAAGAGAAATGCTATCTGGTTTGTGGAACGTGTGCATCAAGTTTCAAAATTGAAAGCTAAAATGACCGAGTTGTCCTTAATGAATTATCGAAGGCACGGAAAAATAAAGAAAAAATTTCTTCATTTATTTGGAGATTCCGAAGAAGAAGAAATGATGCCAGATTCACCAATCTGCATAGAGGACCACTTACCAGCTTGTAAAGAAAGAATAGCACCTTGGATTGTGAAATATCTAATGCCATTTTACAAAAAAGAAGAATTAAAGACCGTCAACTTTTCAAAGCTGTCGCAAAGTACATCGCAGATATGCTCATTATAGAGAACACCTTTCCAGGTGAGCTGACGTGAATGATCGGATATAGTTACGTACTCCAATGTAAAATGTCGAATCGCTATATCTCGTTATCACGAAACTTTTAGATTATCCTGACATAGCACTAAAAGAAAGTCTTTGCGATACTTGATTAAAAAGATAATGGTTATTCTCTTTCTAGAAGAGGATCTAATTCCAAATGTTCTAATTCAAATATTTTTCATTTTGTATCAAATATTACTCCTTTTTATATATCTAATACGTGTAAATACATGTCAAAAATATACAGTCGCTGCCGAATACGTTTCGTAATCAACGTTCAATTTTTTATTTACAATATAATCATGATTAAGTATGAGTTAGGACATTATTTTGCAACGATGATACTCACATTTTATTATTTATATGTTTCAGAACAAGAGTGTGTAAGCAAGTACATAGAAAATTACTTTAAAAACAAGAGATTTATTAAGAGTAAACAGGATATATACCTTTAAAAAGAATTGATGGTATTATCAATTCTATCATGCAATACAAATCAGTGAAATATAAAGATTAATTATATTCCGATATATTTTCTTTTTGCACATCTTGGACTTTTTATTTACACATCACATGATAAAGTTATGTATGCTACAATTTTCAGAAATAAAACATAAATTCTATAAAAGATAAAAGGTTTTGGAAACGGCTTATGTACATCTTAACAATTGAAAAGTTAATGGTTTATAGAAAGATTTTCCAATTATGTTGTACGAACAACACTTGCTATATTTAAAAAAAAATGTGGGATACAGTTTACAACATAATTTTATATGAATGATAACATTTTTTATTTTACTTATTTTCTTTGTTATAAACAATATCATATGATAACAGTAGACAGAATCAACCTAATAACATGAATGATTTTGCCAATTTACCATTTATTTGTTTCCTTATAAAGATACTTAATTATATTTTTTGAGTAACGATATTTAGAGTAAGCTAGAAATGGATTTCCAAATAAGCGTTCCGATCTGACCCTGATATCTACAAGTTTACTTAACTTTTGCAAGAAAATAGAATATTTGTGATTTTCAAATAAGATGTCAATATAATGAAACCGCGAAATTTCGAATATGATAGCTTAGTGGAAAAGATATTTGCGATGCTTTTTTTTTATGACGACTTATGTATTACGTATTTTTCCAGGTACATAGTTCTTATCTATTACCGGTTCCTGCAGAAACATATGTAAACATCTTTCGTTCTGTGCCAAAGGGTGTCCAGCTATTCTGAAATATAAACATATGTGTATATATGTATGTATGTATGTATGTATGTATGTATGATGTATGTGTGTGTGTGTGTGAAGTGTATTTTGCGTGCGTGTGTACATACACATCCATACAACAGTATATAATTTGTAACTAAACAGTCAATCATTAGTCAGACAGACTTTACAATGTTACAAAATTATTGGAATACATAGTTAAAAAATACTGTGTTTCAGTAACCTTTGTTTCGCACATGTCCGAATTTAACATAATTTATATAAAAGGCGAGAGAGAAACATAAGCAGGGGATATTTTCGTAATTAAATTATCACATTTTAATTAGTGCATCTAGAGACTATTATCATTAAAAGTAATGATCATTATGCATTTCGAAAGTCGATAAGATATCAATCTTCCTATTGAAATCAAATTTTCTTTTCTCTAAATGAGATGAATGCGAACGCATTTAAGAGATAACAGTACTGCAAAACTATATATCGTACTTGAACAAAATTTTTTGAACAATTTTCAAACGCAAAATGCCATGATAAACGATTTTCCAATTGATTAGTATTTTTCCAGTTGATTAGTATATCGTATCTTTCCATTTGTATGTGTACAAGTTGTATCTCATATAAAATACAATACGCTTACTTGTTAACAAAAACTTCCAAGCCTTTTCTTCGATCTTCAATAAAATCTTCTTCAAATATTCCATCATCTCCACGAAAAGGCATTTGACGTTTCCATGCTTTCCCTGGTAAAGGTGGTACCACGATCTACAATATTATAAAAAAATATATTATAAAAATATATGGGAAATGTTACTCTATATCATATCGTATAGGCTTCATATGTTTATAGTACAATATACAAATTTATATATATATATATAATACACATGTGTATTTATCAAAAATCTTATTGTGAGTGTATCTTAGATGCCATTTTAATAACAATCTTTACTATTTGTGTTATTTTTAAAAATAATTATTTCTTCCGGTAACTAACCTTACTATCTCTTTCCAATTCATTCCTCAACCATTCAAAATCGCTGTATCGTCTTCTGACTGTCGAGTCCTTTACTTTAAAGACTGGCAAATTTGTCTGGAAAAAAGTTAGATAACTTTGAGAAGATGAAAAATACTTATTCCACTGTAGAATAAATTCACAAGTTTGGACTTGAAATATTTGAGATGTGTATGATATAATATTTGAGATGATGTATTTAACATATAAATATAAAATATGATAAAATAACATTTTATACATACACACACACACATACACACACACATTCACCATGTGTCTGTCCTACACACATGGCACATGCACACAGAGCATATATATATATATATATATATATATATATATATATATTAC